GTAACAGTTGAGGCTCTAGCCACAAAGCCATGCTGCTCTAGGGGAATGGAGTTGTTTTTGTTGAGCCAAGCAAGAATTTTATCTCTCACTATTTTTTCAAGAATTTTTATGGGGGGCGGTGTAATGCTAATTGGGCGATATGAGGAGAGAAGTACAGAGTCACTACTTTTCGGAATCGCTGTGACGATGGATTCTTTCCACAAAGAAGGGACTTCGTTAAACAGCAGTGAGGCATTGAAGATCATTGCTAGTGGTTTATAAAGTGAAATAGCACATTTTTTATAGATAATTTGGGGTATTCCATCGAAAGTTGCGGATGTGGAGCATTTGAGGGTTTTCAGTACATGCAACACCTCAGTTGGGTGAATACACACAGACGCCATGACCTCAGGGGAAATGGAAGAAGTGTGTGTATCATCAGTTACTACATGGGAATCGGTGGTAGCAAGAAAGACTGAAGAAAAATATTTTGCCAGCGCTTCAGCTTTAGACTCGTCATCAAGATAACGATTTCCTGCATCATCGCGAAGAACAGGAAGAGTTACACGGGCTTTCATTTTCTTATTGATTAGGGAAAATATTGCCTTACTATTGACAGAATTATTTGCATGTTTTTCACTGTTAATGAGGAACTTTCTCAAGTGACGATCCAATTCAGAGCAGATTCTAATATAGGAGGGATTCACCAAAGGGTTTGATAGTGAATTGAATAATCTTAGTTTATGAGCCATTAGATTCACAACATGTTTGGGGTATCGCACCCTATGTGGCTCAGTTGAATGGAAGGGAACACACATAGCCAGGCCCATATATATAACACGGCAGAATTTTCTATATAGATCATCGACAGACGCATAATAGCATAAAGCATCCCACCAGTCAACCGAATCTAAGTATAAAGACAATCTACGAAAGTCTGTTTTATTGAAGTCCGGGAGAGGTAGTTTGCTTACCTCGGGTTTAGTTAACTCTATTTGGAACGCAACACAATTGTGGTCAGAGGACACAAAGGGTGGCTGAATCGAAACGTTTCTCAAAAGAGGCACGGACGATAGGACTAAATCAAGAATTGAGTCGCCTCGAGTAGGTTCCAAGACATATTGGGTTAGTCCACAACATTTGAAGAAATCTAGAAACCTAGAAGAACATGCATTTTTGGGAGTGAAAGTATTCCAGTCAACATCAAGGTTAAAATCCCCTAGCAAGATCAGGTATCTGAACGAAAGGGAGAGATCAAGTAATATGTCGACAAGTTGTTCATCATCTCTTACGGAAGAGTCAGGAGGACGATAAATTAGGACAATTCTAACATTTTCTGGAAGCAAGGAATCAAAAACATCTAGGCACAAGATATCAGACTTCGATTCCGGGATACTTAAATTTGGGGAAATTTTCAAGCCATTTTTAACCAGGCAACATACACCACCACCTTTTCGGTGCGTACGATCATATCTGAATAGTTTGTATGGAAGATCGATGATGATTTCAGAATCGGAAATTTTAGGTGAAAGCCATGTCTCAGTTATAAACAATATATCTGGCCCACAGGTACTAAGTAAAAGGTGAAGATGATGTAACTTGTTCGAGAGACTCCTTGAGTTAAACAGTAAGCAATTTAAACCCTTGAGAGAACCATGACAGCTTAGACGTTTCCCGCAGCCTGCTGCGCTCTGGGTAGGTCATTGACTTGCCTTAATTCACCTCGGAAAACTACCCATGTGCGGTTTTTAGCCTGCTCATTACGCTTCTTACATTCTTGCCTGAGATCATAGTATTGCTTGCGCTCTAGCGCTGTCATGCTTCTTCTTATAAAGACATTAGAGAACTATAACTATAATATATTGTAATAATACATGTAAACATTACTTGTACTATATAATGTACATAATTGAATATAATAAATAATAAATAAATAAATAAATAAATAAATAAATAAATAATAAATAAATAAATAAATAATTGTGGAATAAGATACACCTTTCAGGGGACTACCAGCACAAATGAAGTGGGAACCCAATAGTGATAAGTAACAAAGATTAAGTGATAACATGTGGAAACACACTGCCACTAACACAATAGCAAGTTTCAGGCGCTATCCTATATACGGGGACTTTCGCACTCTTGTATACGTTTTCTAAAAGGTGTATTAACACATTGACGACAGGCTGACGCGCATGCGCGTCAGAACTATGTCATTCATTTTTATTGTGCTTGCGCTCCTTCTTCTCGAGTTTTTTGTATTCATTCTATAGATAATACATTAGCATAACTATAAACCACATGGCAGCCAGAGTGGTCAAATATCCCTTGATTTAGCAAAGATTTTCTGAACGCACAAAACTTTCATTTCAATTCTTTCCTAGTATTCCTTTCACTGTCGTAAACATTTATATGTAAAGATTGTAGAAGCAGTTAATACAAAACTTTGTAAGTTTCAAAATATTTGTATTTGATAAAACTTCAATATAAATGCTTTTAACTTCATTCGCAGCTAAAGTGATGTTTTTTGTTCTTCGTGGTCATTATGCGTTCTTCTAAACAAAAATCTACTGCTATTTATATACTTAACCTTTGTGCGATCATCCTTGCCGAAATAGTCCTATGAGATTCAAGTTATTGTGCATTTTTAACAAAAAATAAGCGGAAGTAAGGTGAGGACGGCGCGGTCGCAAAATCGCTCCTGTCCCACGAGGTGCAAAATGCCAAAACGTGTCGTCCACGTGTGTTAACATGAGCATGTTTAAACGTGTCAAGAGTGGTTAGGAGGAGGAAGTGCGCATACTCAAAGGAAGCGATTACGATAGATCTCAAAGGGGTTTAGAGGGACGTGGGGGTCTCAATAGTACGCCAGCTGGCGAAAAAAGCAAAGAATCCGTCGAAAATAAGCAAAATGTACCCCTTTGATTGCCCTTTCATTTTCGACCATGGATGAGCGACGTAATAACTGACGTCAGAACGTGTTACGCCCGTATAGCCGCCAATCATGCCAACACAAGGCATAGTTGATTGATAAGGCAATACGTGAGAAGTTGGAAGATACAGCCGCTAAAGGGAAATGATCATCCAAAATGAAAAGCCAACAGTCCATCCAGATCATCAACAAAACTAGTGGGCGTCACGTCACTGGGGGCGGGGCGTCACGCGGGTCCTGCTCAGCAACCACAGCACCTTTCGCCGTGGGAGGACCACACATCGCTTCCTTGGCAGCCAAGTAATTGCTCCGTGTGGCGCAGGTTCTCCCCCGATGCGAAAATTCCTTATCGTAATCGCTTCCTTTAACGTAATACTAACACAAAGCTTTTTAAAAGGAAGGCAAGAAAACAGCGATGATTTCAGGCACTATAGCAAGGGGCATTCCGGTGGCTAGGCATTTCAAACCGCGTAAGACATTTCGTTTTTACCGAACGGGACCGAGCCTTAGGTGGAGGAAGGTAGAATCTGTTAGATTGCATCAGCATTTTTTTTGTTCCGCGATGTTCCTGCCTCTACTAGGCTTATGGTTAGTCCTAGAGGAGGCAACTTTATCTTGCGATAGCACCGTTTTGTGTGCAGGTACGATATCAACAGTCCCAAATAATACCACAAAAGGCTCAGGGTGTAGACAACTCAGTACCTACCTGGTTTTGAATTGGATATTCATCGTATCTGAAAAGAGATCGAACAAAGCCTCAGACAGCCAGCGTTCAGGATTGGCTATCGTACATACGATGTGATTGGACGATTAGTCTACAAGGAGAAGGATGTGCATCGAAGAGGTGCGTAGACGGGAAGTAGGCTAGTAGTCCATCGAGCTATCGCTAACGGATGGGAGAACAATTTGATTCGTGCACCTTTTCTTATCTCTACTCGCCTAGTCGCCCAGTTGCTCAATCGCATATACGATCAATTTTAACGCTGCTTAGCTTCAGAAGGAAATGACAAGGAGGATAGAGCTTAGATATCACACAAACAGAAAAGGAATGGCGAGGAATGCGCTTGTCGCGTCCGGCACGGACGCCTTGCTCCCCGCATTTCGCATAAGCATCGGGGTTCACCCGGCGAAGGAGCGGCGTCGGTGTCGGCGTGAGGGTAGCTTGCGGGGACTTACGCCGCGCTCGCTGCCCGCGCGGACACCTAAAAGGCCTGAGCAGCCCCGACTGGCAATACGCCATAACCCAAACGCCATAAGCCACCGCAATGGCATGGACTACGCCGCGATATTATTGTCCCGCTACCTACATCCTACGATGAACTATTGGCCCGGCCTACAGGCATTGCATCACTTATAGACGTAGTAATTTTTAATAAAGAAACAGTATGCTGCGGACAAACCGCTTAATACACAAAAATAAGGAAATAAGCCAACGATTCATGTAATTGTGAAACTACGACAGAAAGGATAACTACAATGTTGCACGGCCACTACGAGTGAACCGGGTCGAACCTAGGAAT